TGTGTGTGTGTGTGTTATGGCCAGACAGGATGCAAAGCCTTGCCTTCCATGCTAAGTTTCATTTGGCTGATACAAGCCGACCAAGGAAATAGGATATGAGAAACCAGCCTTAAGGACTTTCAGAGGTTCGTAATCCAACGAGGAAAACCAAGTTACCCGAAAACATCCAACACGTGCTGCTGAGCACATGACCCAGGCAGACGCTGAGAACAATAGACATTCAGTGAGGCCAAACAGAAGGTGCTGACTGCAGCCCAGGTGGAGCTAGTCACCTGGAACTTCCAGTGGATTCCAGGCTGGTCACATGACCGCACATGCAAAAGGCGGTGTGCCTTGGGGTTGGAGGGAGGGGGCTCAGTGAGAGCCAGCATTGCTGAGCTTTTACAGGCTCCTTTCATGAACTCTACCTGAGATCACAGAGCCAGGAAGCCCTCCAGCCTGGCCTAGTCTGATTCCAAGACCTTATATTTAACCCATGTTCACTCCTGTCTTCCTAGCAAACAAGGAGTGGGTATCAGCTCCTCCCTTCTGGGAAAATTCAGCTGGATCTCTCCCATGGAGGAGGTTCTGATTTGTATCAAAAGTTGAATGCATTATATTTTATCAAAATCCTACTCTTACACACAAACACATCAGTCCAAAAAAAAAACAGAAAAATTTTATTTATTCATTCTTTTCCTATCAAAGGTCATAGTTGCTGGCTCTGGACATCAGATTAAATGACGGGAAATGCCCTCTCCTGTCTCCCCATTACCTATATCGGTGGGCTGCCACCTCTGCAGTTACTAAGATAACGATTCCTTCCTTTGAAAAGGAACTGAGCACATTTACCCCAGGACAAAACAACAGACTCAAAGCAGAACACTTTGGACCATGGCTGAAGGCATTCTTAAGGACATTTCCTGTTTTCTGATTAGCGGAGCCTGACCCCTGACTCAGCTCAGAAAAGCTTAAGCAGTGTGCCAGCCTCAGTGCCTGAGACCTGGACACCCCTGACTGTCTTCCCAGAATTCCTTTGCTGGTCACTGTTCTCACCATGTCAGACCCTGGAAGGATTATCTGTCAACGTGACACAGCCAGGAATCGCCTGGGAAGAGGGTCTCAGGTGATTGTGCACATTGGGTTGGCCTGTGGGGAATTCTTTCATTAAGTTCACTGGTATGGGAAGACCCAGACAACCCGAAGCATTCCCTAGGTGGGAGGTCCTGAAGTGCCTAAATTAGAGAAATCAACCACGCAGCTTTCATTCCCCCAGCACTTTGACCATGGATGTGTTACGTCTGCTTCAAATTCCCGTCCCTCAACTTCCCACAACAATGACTGCAGCCTGAGGTTGTCATCTAAAACACATCCTTCCTCTTCCACGATGCTTTTTGTCAAGATATGTTATCATGGCAACAGAAAGGAGATGAGGACAGACCTGCAGACTAGGCCTGAGAGACTCCAGGACCCAGCAGCTGGCTCCAGCTGTGCACAGAGGCCAGATGCGTGTGGATGGAGTTTCCGTTTTACAGTCAGCCACGTCTGCCTAGACTAGGCACACTCTCTCCGTTAGTTACTTGTTTGTGACTGTGACAAAAGCAACTGAAAAGTTTATTTTGGGGTTCAGTCCAGAGACAGTCCACCATGGCATCCAGAGGGTGGTAGGCCCCTCTGCTCCCGCAGCCAGGAAGTGGGAAAAAAAGGATGCTGGCGCTTGCCTTCTCTGTCCTTTTTATTAATTCTGAACACTGGCTGTGGGGTCACAGCAACCGCGTTTAGCGTGAGTGTTCTCTCTTTAGTTAACCCAGTCTAGGAAATCTCCCACAGACACACCCGGAGGTTGACGCCGAGGTGACTCTAGATCCAGTCAACTTGCAGTTGGTATTCGCCATCGCCTTCATCCTGTAGGAGGTTGTCACGCAGACACGCCAAAGCCTGGAAGGTAAATCCGAAGTCCCCCGGAGAAGAAATCCTGCCTCAAGATCCAACAGACGCTCTGGGCCTGAGTTTCCAGTGCCCCTTCCCCCTACAGACTTCAGCACTGTCCCCCCGTGTCACACTTCAGAGCTGCCAGTGCACGATCACATAAGCAACCGCCAATTCCTTAAAACATGTCCTTTTCTCTGCCCCTCTCTTTCTACACACACACACAGGCATGCACCCTTGGCTATAGAGCAAGTTCAAGACCAACCTGGGCTGTATGAGGTCTTTTCTCACAAAGAATAGCAATGAAAGAATTATGGGGCTGCTGAGATGGCTCAGTGGTTAAGAGTACTTGCTGCTCTTGAAGATGACCAGGACATTGTTACCAGCACCCACAAACTATCTGTAACCCCAGTTCCATGGGATCTGGTATTCTCTTCTGACCTCCTCAGGCACCAGGCACACACATGATACACGTACAGAGGCTCAGTCAAACACACACACACATACAACAAAGATAGTTAAATAAATAAACAAATAAATAAGTAAACAAGCAGAAAAGAGAAGAAAAAAAATATTAGGTTTGACCCTGAATCTAAACTTCTCTTCTCATGCAAAAACTTCTAGGTTCTCAGGTCCATGCCTCTTTCCCCTGAAAAACGAAGAGCCACATATAAATTCATCTTGCTAAAAATAATAATAATAAATTTTTTTTAAAATGCCCCAGGTTGTATAAGCCTTTATACATAGCTAACAATTATTAAGCTTTCAGAACTGGTCATTACTCCCAACATTTCCAACAGATTCTCTGATTTCATCATAACAGTTCTCAAAGGTAAATTCTGTGATGATCAGTGGCTATCAGAAGTCACACAGAAAGCAAATGGTAGACCTGGAATTTTAACCTTGCAGTTAAAACTAGGTTAGTTTCCAAAGGTGGAGGATTAAGGTCAGAATGTGGCTCCTTGGGGTTGGAAAGATAGCTCATCAGTTCAGAGCACTTGGTGCTCTTGCAGAGAACCTGAATTTCATTCCTGTCACCCACATCAGCCAGCATACAACCATCAGTCAATTCCAGTTCTCAGGGGCTCTGATACCTCTGGCCTCTGCAGGCACTAGAACTCACGTGTATAGACACAAACACACACATACATGCTCTCAATTTCTCTCTCTCAAACACACGTACACAAATAATCAAAAAGTACTCTTAAAATAAATAAATAAGTAAAATTAATAAAAATAATTTTAAAAGAATACTTGAAGGTCACGATTATAATTTATTAATACTGCTATTCAGGTGTCGCCCACACAGTGCTTGCTACTTAGTAGCTTCTCCATGATTTGAGTGACTAGACTTCTTGCATATGTATACATGTATGATGTGTAGGGTTGCCCTAATGATCAAAAGACAGCACGAGTGTGAAGCCCTCAGTGCTGAGTCTGAGCACTGAGCAACAGCAGCCATTAGAGTGTTTCTCTCTGGGATACCAGAGCACTACCCCATTTTGCCTTCCCCAGGGCATTCGTAGGCCCTGGAGCCCCAAGGGACAGGAAGTTCCCAGTGAAGCAAGTCCTGGTGGAATAATTCCTTCATGTGGCTCCATTCCAGAGCTCAGTGGCCACCCAGGGCAGCTGCCACGTGGGCAGTGACTATCCTGATTATCAGTCTGCCTGGTAGCCACAAGAATCGGGTTAATTCCACAAGAGCCAGGGGCCAGAGCTGTCTTTAAGGGG